TGACTGTGGGCAAAGTGGACACAGAGCTGGGTGATTTGTCCATGTCAAGCAATGAGAGAGATGACAAACCAGGTCTAAGACCCTTGTCAGAAGTCTTTCTAGAATAACAGAGACATCATTCAAGAACAATCCCTCCAGGACAAGAAGAGATGACCAACTGGGCAGAGAGTGTGCCTTTATTTTGGTGCTGGGAAGAACTGTTTATGACAGAAGGATCACTTCCTGTGTTTCTCATGCCAACAGTCATGAATCCTCGAATGGCACATGCTGGGAGGAAGTGAGGACTCATGTCCATTCATTTATTCTAACAAGAGCCAAGTTTTTATTCACTCATTTCTTGCATTTGATGATATCTTTAGCCTGAGAGTTTTTACCAGAATCCTTAACTACCACACAAGTGCAACCAACCACTTTAAGGGGTTTTCCCTTTCTGTCAATTTTTCAGAGGACCTACCCATCTCCCTAGCTTTTTGTTGTCATCAATATTAATGAGGTTGGTTTGGGGTCTCCACCAACTTGACATACACAGGGTCATCACAGATAGAAGCAAGCTCACTCAGATGGTTTTGGCCTTTGTCTAGGCTTTGGCAGCTCCTCGAATTCCATGTTAGGCCATCATGGATGAGGCCAGTCTTCCACACCTCTTGTAAAGTAGTATTAACATCCATTGCCTCTCCAGCTGCAGTGCCTCCCTCAGCCATGGCCATGGTGGTGGGCTCCAGGTGGGTAGCAGGTGAGTTACAAATGGAGCCAAATCCTGAATGTCCCTGAGCTGCTGCTTCTGTGCGGCTGGGCAGCGGCAGGGAAAGAATCAGTGCCTTTTAATGTGAATTTGTTAACAACCTTCTTGAGTTTACTTTTTCAACTGTAAGTGCAAGGGTAGCAATACTCTACTTGTAAAAAGGCATTTTGTAGAGAGAAATAATAATTACTATTGCTACAAAGTTCTAACGAGGACAGGGTGAGGTACACTTTGACTTCTGAGATAAGTCTTAAGGAGAACCCAGAGCTCTTTGAGTTCTGTTATCAGGAGCCTCTTCTGAACACCCAGTACTGGGCAGAGAGTGTGCCTTTATTTTGGTGCTGGGAAGAACTGTTTATGACAGAAGGATCACTTCCTGTGCTTCTCATGCCAACAGTCATGAATCCTCGAATGGCACATGCTGGGAGGAAGTGAGGACTCATGTCCATTCATTTATTCTAACAAGAGCCAAGTTTTTATTCACTCATTTCTTGCATTTGATGATATCTTTAGCCAGAGATTTTTTACCAGAATCCTAACTACCACACAAGTGCAACCAACCATTTTAAGGGGTTTTCCCTTTCTGTCAGTTTTTCAGAGGACCTACCCATCTCCCTAGCTTTTTGTTGTCATCAATATTAATGAGGTTGGTTTGGGGCCTCCACCAACTTGACATACACAGGGTCATCACAGATAGAAGCAAGCTCACTCAGATGGTTTTGGCCTTTGTCTAGGCTTTGGCAGCTCCTCGAATTCCATGTTAGGCCATCATGGATGAGGCCAGTCTTCCACACCTCTTGTAAAGTAGTATTAACATCCATTGCCTCTCCAGCTGCAGTGCCTCCCTCAGCCATGGCCATGGTGGTGGGCTCCAGGTGGGTAGCAGGTGAGTTACAAATGGAGCCAAATCCTGAATGTCCCTGAGCTGCTGCTTCTGTGCGGCTGGGCAGCGGCAGGGAAAGAATCAGTGCCTTTTAATGTGAATTTGTTAACAACCTTCTTGAGTTTACTTTTTCAACTGTAAGTGCAAGGGTCTGAGGGCTCATCCCCAGTGTGGGGTGTGCAGGAGGCAGCTGATCGATGATTCTCTCTCATCAGTGATGTTTCTATCTCTCTCTCTCTCTCCCTCTCCCTTCCTCTCTGAAATCAATAAAGATATATAAAAATAAAGTACAGAGGCTTCAGTCTATGTCCTTTTCTCCTTTCTTGACTTAAACCAGTGTAATTTGTTAATTGTAGAACTAGAGATAAGTAAAAAAATATGACATACAATACAAGCCATAAAAATTACCCATGACCCCACCAGCCAGAAGTAACCTTAATATGAAACTTAATTAGTATAGCATTATACTGAGAGGAGGCATGTTTTTTACTTAATTTTTAATCAGAGGGTCCATGACCCTCTCCTTGGGTTTGATTAATTTGCTAGAACAGCTCACAGAACTTAGGAAAAACAGTTTACTTATTATAAAGGACATGACTCAGGCACAGCCAGATGGAAGATATGGGGAAAGGGGTGTGTAGCTTCCCCACCCTGTCTGGGCACCCGCCCACATGTTCACCAGCCCAGAAGTTCTCTGAATCCTGTACCTTAGGGATTTTTATGGAGGCTTCATTATGTAGGCATGATTTAGGCATGATTGACTAAATCATTGGCCATTCAGGATTAAACTCAATTTCCAGCCTCTGGCTCCCCTACCGGGAGGTCCAGGGTGATGAGAGTGGAGTTGAAAGTTCCCACGTTCTAATTCAGTGATTTTCAGTTTAGATGCACCACACATGGTGTATGGCCAGAATTTTAAAAACATGAAATACCTGACCATTTAATTAGGGGCACTGACCTCTTTTCTTTAGATTGTCAAAATAAAAAATGACAACAGCTAACACAATAATAGTCGTCTGGTGTGAATGAATCAAAATCATCCCTATTTTTTGTCAGATCAGCAAAAAATATAATTTTTGATGTGCTGCAGAATTTTAGTAATTGGCTTATGTGTGCCATGAGATGAAAAGGGTTGAAAATCACTGCTCTAATCGCATGGTTGGCTCCCTTGGCAATCAGCTCCCATCCTGTCTAGGGGTTTTCCAAAAATCACCTCATTAACATAAACTCAGGGCTGGTTGAAAGCAGTTGTTATGAATAACCAGACCCTCTTTTTACCTTCATCATCCTGGAACTATTTCAGAAATTGGAGCTATATGAGGGCAAAATACCAAATATTAAAACAAAAGGTACTCCAGCTCTCTTATTACTTAGAATATTACAGGGCTTTCAGGAGCTGTGTGGCAGGAGCAGAATGCAGATCAAATATATGGATTTCTTATTCTAAATCACAATGTCACAGATGGACAGATTCTTCCTAAAAATAAAATTGGCTCTTTTGTTTATAATAACACCTTCATTTGTTGAGGGTTTTGTAGGGTGGGTTTTTTTGTTCGTTTGCTTTTGTTTTGGGGGCATGTGCTTTGAAGCAAGTCTAGTAGGAGAAAAAAATAAAGAATTCAGTGGCTGTGCACAAGAAAGCAGCAGTAATTTAGGAGTGTGTCGCGTGGAAGCTCAGGCAGGAGGATATTTGAGGTCCTTGGACACTTAGGGAAGGGATGGAAGAGAATGATCTGCAAAGGTCATGGGTCAACAGGTAAGCTGCCCCAGAGGCAGGTGGAGTTGGCACAGGGACTGTAAAATGTCAAATATTCTATTTTCTTTTATTTTATTTTAAAATATATTTTTATTTATTGCAGAGAGGAAAGGAGAAGGATAGAAACATCAATGATGAGAGAGAATCATTAATCAGTTGCCTCCTGC